ATAAATGTATGTATAATAGAACTCCCACTATATATAGCACTCGTGGTAGAAAATTAAACATCAAGAGTAAAAAACAGAACCTTGTAAAATGAATATTTAGTTATTTGTTGTATACTTTACATTGCATATTCAGATATTCTACTATGCAGTGGCAGAATAACTCAAAGATGGCAGGAAGGACAAAATACTGCACAAATCGGATGAAATCATTCGTCATCCCATTGTCGAATTACTCACTTGATACTGATACGTTTCCAAGCGTTCCAGGTAAAATATACTACCATCCTTAACTTCAAAACTCACCCAAAAACCACCATCACCATGACTTTCACCTACCCAATCAAAAACACCACCGATCCTCACCACCAGAAACCCCATCCACCTCTCATAAGTTCACCTCCAACCCTTGAACCCGATAAACAACAAAACAACAGCAATCAACAAAGAATGCTCCACCAATCACGCAGATTAGCAAATAAAACATAGTAATTATATCAATATCTAGTTAATCAACAAAGAATGCTCCACCAATCACGCAGATTAGCAAATGCAACATTGTAATTATATCTAAATCAGAGTCATGTACATTGTCGAGCGAGTATAGCAATAATCAACAATTATAGCAATAATAGCAACATATAATTATATACTATCAAATTCAGCAGAAAATCAACAAAAGATAAAAAAAAATATTCAATCAAACAAGCAAGTAAATAATTCAAACCAGAAACGGCAAAATTGATATTGCATGAACCCTAGAAATTGAACGAGAGAAATGAAGATAGCAAACCTGATATTTGCAGTAGAAAATTGAAAATTTAGGAGCAAGATCTAGAGAATTGCAGCTTTCCTTGTAGAATCGTCTAGCAAGATCTAGAGATTTGCAATAGAAAATTGAGCGAGCGAAGAGGAGGGAGAAGAGTTTTCTGTATTTTTTGTGTTAGAGGAAGGAAAGAGAATCTGTTTCCTCACTCATTACGGCGGAAACAATTGGGTGGAAATGGTTACCACTTAGTAACGGTTTGTGTTACTTTAGTCCGTAACCAAATACAATGTAACGGGAACACTAACATGATTCCGTTTCCACCCCTTTAAAATACCTATACCAAACACCCCCTGAGAGTGTTCAAGGACACAGTAAAAGATTTTGCACACTTGAGCTCAGTAAACATGTCAAGCAGCTTTTCGGAATTGTTGGTAGATGATGACATTCTAACATTAATCTCCACCTCTTCCAACGAACAACATTTATCATCGATACACAAGTCTATCGGGTGACAGTATTTGAAGAAAGTGAGCAAGGGTAAGGAAATGATAACCGGATCAAAGGTCGAGTTCAAGATCTCGAGTTTCTTAAGCATGGGAGCTGATATCATCAAAACCACGAAGGAATTTTCGTGTTATTGCAGCAGTCTGATAAGACTAACATTTCCAAAACAGGACATCGTGAAAATAATTTCAGAGGAATAGATATAGTCCGGAGTCCATTATAGTCCGGAGTCCAAGGTATGAACGTAAGTTAGGACTGTTGTTGTTGTTAGTAGACATGATATCTACAATAGAATTATAGCAAAGTTTAATTATATGTTTATCATAGTAGCATACAAAATTTGAACAATTCAAAGCTACTTATCACATTTTAAAATTTGTCCCGTAAAATTCATGTGAATACCAAGATCCTTTAAAACAAAAATTTAAGCGGACTTTGGCCCTATGTATAAAATCTAATGTTTTATTGGTAAGCAAACAATCTTTACTAATTATATCTCATATAATTCGTAGTCGATAGATAACAACTTTTGTTTCCATCTCTATGTATCAAGACCCAAAACTTTGTCTTTTGATAATCTTGTTGAGCAAAACCAAACAGTGACATGTAAGTTTCATAAATATTACCCTATATTCCCGAGATTATATGCAACACCCTGCTTTGGCGGAACCTATTACTTATGATCAAAGGCTTTACAGGTGTCTGTTTGGGAAAAACATATCTCAATATTGCTTTTAGGGACCTAATTTACTATGTTGGTTTATTTATTAGAGAACTTATACCATAAATAAGAGCAACATGCGTAACTTAAAAAAGCATAATATAATGCAATAAAATTGTGATCCTAGTATGGTCCTTAATCCTATGAAAAAATTCTATCTTCATAGACTCCATCCATGATTAGTCGCGAATCTCCATCCATGATTCATCGTGGATTGTTGCCGGATAACTCTTGTTTTGTATTTTAATTTAAATAAACAATAATTAAATTACAAAAATACAAACGGTGCGCAGACCGTATTTACAAGAAATACTAACGGTACGCAGACCGTATTTTCTATCCTAATTTGGGCACACTAGTCACTGACAATAATAATAATATCATATATATTTATATAAAATTGCCACATAATAAAATATCATATATTTTAATTTTGGTCAAATAACCAATTTTGGATCAGGAACAAAATCAGCCATGAATTCGTACAAGTAAATCGGACAAGCATTGCACAAATTTCCAAGGTTGGTAACCATAATACACGTATAAGACAATTAGTTGAAAAGTTGTCTTTCTATGAAAAATCACCTCTTTCACATGTTTTAAACTGTATTTTTCTTTTAATAAAATTAAGAAACCAGCCATCAAAAACGTCACCATGAACAACCATGAAGAAACCGTCAGCCATGAACGGTTTTTTTTTTTTTTTTTTTTTTTTTTTTTTTTTTTTAATAACAACAAGAAACCAGAGGCCATGAACGGCCGTGAAGAAACCGTCAGCCGGAACAGTTCCAGCCAACGACAGCCCATGAGAAAACGGCCGGAGATTACTCCTAGACCAACGAATCTCTGAAATTTGTGGCCGGAGAGTACTCCTTGACCAGCGAATTTCTGAAATTCGTGGCTAGAGTTTACTCCTTGACCACCGGATCTCTGGTCACGCAACCCAACCAGCATCCCTTCATCACCGGAGATGACTCCTTGACCACCGGAGCAGCAATCGTGGCCCATCTAAGATGGTTCTGCCACCCAGCCGTGGCTGCTCCCACTCAAAACCTTGCTTTTAATTTCGATAATACAATACTTCCTCCCCTTAATGAAATTAAAAATAACATATATACATCAAATTAATCGAGTTAATTATGATCATATTATTATACGCAAGAGGCAAACTGGTACCACTGTAGGAACATATTAGATGCACTTAGCGGAATTTCAAGAAACAATTTCTTAGCACCTAAAACAGGATTTCATGCATATAATAATATGAATTATAAGATTAGAATATTATACCCTCGATGCGTGATTTCCACAAAGCAAGAGGGCACTTCTTTCTTCAATTAGGGATCTTTAGAACGTCAATTGTCGTTCCTCTAATATTGGTCCACGAGCAATGGTTGAATCTCCACGTATGCTAGTACGGAACAAGGAACAATTCCTTATTGCTTTTACTGGTGGTTATGTGTGAGAGAAGTTTTTGTGATTATGAAAAATGTGTTGTTTCATTTATGTCACTTAGTCATATTTATAATAAACTATCGCAACTGTTCACATAATCGCATCTCTTAGGCTTTAAGGCCTATTCATGCATCTTAATTCAATCATATACTCATGTGTGACCTCATAGGACCGGATTATTATTAGTAGTAAACTAAGCATTAGTTCACAAATCATAGTTGGTTTCTAGCAAAACATTATGATTACCTAAAATAACCGATTATAATTAATCTCCATATTTGTCCTAATTACAATTAGTAATTACACTTGATCGACGGACATTTCCTTCAGTAGGAGCATACGCAAGGCTTGTTGGAGGATACACAGGGCTTGTTGGAGAATACACTGGCTTGTAGGAGCATACGCAGGGCTTGTCGGAGCATACGAAGGATACGCAGGGTATGTTGGAGAATAAGAGGGACTTATTGGAGAGCACAGGGGCATACCGGAGTATATGAATAATCCTCGGTGTGTGGTGTTGGTGTTGCCTTTGTTGAAGAATGCACACAACAATCAGACAAATGAGGCTAAATTTCAGAAAAGGAATTTCCATCCAAACGTTTTTCCATCGAGTTGAAAGTATGGAGGTTTGAACCACACAAGCTTAGTTTCCAAGTATGATAAAATTTGCTGAAGAAGAGGGTCTGGTAGGTTACTTAGTCTGACTCTATTCCTAAAGCATCGCAATTTAGAATCCATTGATAAAATGTCAAAAGAAAAAATTAGATATTGGCTATTATTATAAAACACCGCATTCACTTGACTTGTATTTGTTATCGATGTGGGACAACTTTTTAATTCCTTTTTTTTTTTTTTTTTTTTTTAAGTTTTACCTTTTGAAATACTTCACATGTCAGTACTTCTGTACATATACGTCGTTTACTTTAAATCCCTAGAGTTCTGTTGCATGAGCCATGAGGATTGAAATGCACTGACGCCATTAAGAAAGACTAAAATAACTGAAAGAAGAAACATTCTCCTTGAATTCTTGAATGCATTATTGGAAAACCATATATATTAACCAAATTCAAGATTTTGCTGACCTAAAAATATGATGGCCTAATTTTATGTATACATTTAAGCAAACAAAATGAATCAAAAAATAAAGAGGTTATACAATTGTGCAAGTACAAAAAGAAATTATACAATATATTGTTGATATCTTTGGAAGCATATATAGGTTTTAAGTTTTTAGCGAGTTAACTTACAAACAATTAATGAATAAATAAACCTGGTGTAAAATAAATACAAAGTATTATACATTTAAGCAAATTAAAAAGAAAATTAAAGGAGTGAGGATCATTCTTGTAATTCACGTGTACACAAAAGCTTTTGAAATTAAACCCAAATTAATCACATGAATTAACTAAGTTTATTGAAAAATATTGGGCAAAGTACATTGATGAGATTTTTGAAGCATAAACAAGTTTAAACGAGTTATATCATATCCAAACATGAATTAAATAACACATGCAAACAAACTTAAACAAGTTGGTCACAAACATTAATAAGTTTTTTTTTTTGACGGCAAACGATAATAATAAGTTGAACATTAGCCATTAGGTTATTTGAGTTTGGATAGTTTCCAAAATGATTTTAAGATTTATGTTTATTTCAGCTTATTTAGTTAGTTAACATCAATGCTTAGACTAAGCTTTGATCGAGCGAGTTTGTTTATAGCGATTCAACGTGTCTACTCTTTTGCACCATTGTGGTTATCATGAAAAATGACAGGTTTTTAATTAATGCTATACACGAATGAATAACCTCTTTTAGACATACCAACACTAATATGGAGAAGGAAATAAAAAAGAGGATATAAATTTGCTAAGAAAGTTGAATATAGTCTAACGTTGTATCGATTCATGTATATATAGGTAGTCGCGTAGTGCCAACTGATAGACTATGTTGAAGATATATGTAGCTAGAAAATAAGGAGTATTTATACAAACTTGCATAATCAAGTGCATAATAAACATTGAAAAATTGAACATTATTTGCTTTAACTCACCCCTAAAAAAAAAAACTAGAATTGTGGATTTAGATGAAAATAAGAACATTAGTCCAAAAGAAGTTGGTCGTTTAAATGAATGAAAGCTAGTCATCCTCAACCACCAACGTACAAGATTTCTCCCAACCCAGCAACAAGAGCATACAATTCTGAATTCTCCAAGCAGCAGCCAATTAATCAAATTATCTTGAAGGTTTCCAATCTTGGCCTGCATAAAATAAAAGACAAATTTCAATTTCTAATATTGTATAAAAGGTAACTAATATATTAAAGAAAAGAGATAAAAGAAAAGGTAGCAGAGATTGAATCTGTATGCATTACCTCAATGACTTGGGCACTTGTATAAGAGTTTCGACGTTTGATGCAGAGTTGGACAATAGACAACTCAATCCTTTTTCAGGCAATGTCCAATCAGTCTTCACATATAAGTTCTTTAGATTAGGAGAGGGTGGTAACTCATTTTCTAATTTTCCACATTCTTCCGAGAGCACCTAATCACAGGTCCGACGATCACCATGTAGGGCAAACAGTATATGCAACGACAATGAAGTTAGTAGTAATAAAATGTCTAGACATTGGCACCTAAGAATATCATACTACTACAAACAACTCTTGGAATCAATTAACTATGTCAAACATTACAATAATAGCTTAGAATCGTGAAGATGATCAACATGGTCTCAGAAGAATTCACAATTAGTGATTCAATATTTCAATTATATCATAAGCAAATAATAGTAAAACTACTGTTAAGTTACCCTGAGAGTGTCTATGGACACAGAAACAAATCTTGCATTCTCCAGCTTCCTAAGCATTTTCACGAGAAGCTTCCTATGGCCGTTATCATTTTTGACATCAATATCAACTTTTTCCAATGTATGACAATTTCCAGCCATATACAAATTGATGGGAACTTTTCCTTCATATTTGAAATAGACAAGCAGGGGTGATGAAACAACAACTCGATCAAAGACCGAGCTCTGTATTTCCAAATTCTTAAGCAGGGGAGACGAAATTGTCAACATTGAGTCATGTAAATAGCAGTCCGAAAAGCTCAGAAGTTCTAAAACAGGACAATTTGAAAAAAAATCAGGACAAAAAACTGTTCGTTTGACAGGATAAATCCGATTACCCAAACCACCTTCATCCAGACTAAGAAGCCTCAGTTCTTTGAGTGCACGAAAACCCGTAGTGTTGGACAAAGTCAGCCAAGGAATATTTAGTTGGAGTTTCTCAAGTGAGTGGTTATCATAAAAGCACTTTGGCAATTTCATACGGATAGTGCTGGAAGTTTTAGAAAAAACTAATGCAACTTCTTGTGCTTTTACACTCATAACGTATGACAATATAGACTCCATAACGCGAGGTTCGATTAGTGCATAGGGGAAACTAAGCTCGAACTTGATTAATTTAGTAGGTTCACGTTGATTTAAGACTTGTTGGACAAAACACAGGTCACCCGAAAGTCGCTTAGCATCAAAAAGGAACTTGGGTCCATATATATTTCCATCTGGTAGATAGTATGGAGATTTGAACTACGAGTTTGGTGTCCAAATTCGAGAGAATTCGATGTAGAAGACAGTCTGGTAGATCACTAATTCTGTCTCTTTGGTTGCTTTCATTTTCAAAACCATAGTACATCTTAGGAAAATGGCATACTCTATAAACTGAATATAGGATGTTGAGCTTTTTAAAAACAAAATAATAATATTGGGTGTGGGTAAAAATAAAAAGTAAAGGAAATAAGGCCTTATTTATAATTACATGACAACAGTTTACATTCATAATTTTTCCATGTGGGATTGTTTGCGGTTTTGAAATTATTAGGCCTACGGAGTAAGAAAAAAAAAAAAAAAAAAAAAAAAACTTTATATATATCTTGTCTTTTTCAATTAGAGTTAGCTCCCTGATTTTAGCAAAGTATAAACATTCGCTTTACTTTAAACTTGTTAAAGACAATTACTCTATAACACTCAACACCGCCGTAATTTTTTCTAAAATAATTTTCCAAACCGTATAAAACACACCATCTATATATTAAAAATACACCAACTATATATTGAATACTACTCTAACATGCCATGATATCAACGAGGAAGAGCTGGCTTATGACGGCACTCTAGAAACGCAACCATGGCAAAAACTATCCAACTAGTGAATCCAAATCCAATCATTATAATATAGAAATTGTCAAGACGACTATCATTGATTCGATCTCCAAACCAACCTCGGTGACCATGTCGCTTGGTGGTGGTGCTCACACCAGCAAACAATGCAATGCTAAGTAGCTTTCCAATGCCTGTTATACAATTGGCCAATAGTCCCGTATGATATGCTTACTGAATCAGGCATTTCATGGTCAAAAAAATCCTCTATGCCACTAGTAGCCAGAGCATTCATGGCCCCCATCAAAATTAGCTGCGGAAGAAGATAAAATGCTGTCAAACTTTTGCTATCTTTCAAGGCTTGTAGCCTCTTGGCCTCGACCAAAAATGCTGCAATAAAGCACAAACACGAAGCGAGCATTCCTAGGCCTATCCGTACTGCACCGTGAAATCTTTGGTGTGGCTTTGTGCGCTTACTGTGGCAGAAACGTTTCACTGTATATTCCCCCAAAGTCGAGAAGCCTTTGAAGATCTGTACTGGCAAATTAAGTGACCGGAAGTGCCTATCCATATTATTTGCTTGCTCGACGAAGAATGTGCTGCTAACTGCTTGTATTAGACCATATGTCAAGAATGTGAGTGACAACAATGATGCCCTCACGAAACACTTAGCATCCTCCACTTCCTTGACTGTACAAAGTTTACCATTCTCTACTTCGGCTTCAGGATTTTCACTGGGGTTATACAGTGCAGCCTTGTTAAAGAACCTGGATGCAGTTCATAAACCATGTTAAATAATATTGGATCATAATTAGGCATATTTTTAACTCAAAACGCGTTTATTAAGTAATAGACCAATAAAACCATACTATTGTCTAGACAAAATTAGAGTGCACTCAGGTGGGTGTACAGGTGATAGAGTATATAAACCGATCTATCAAGAAAGGGAGAACATTAAGTAAGCATATATTATTAGACATGTAAAAAGGTGAATAGAGGAAAAATTACCCAAATCTAGCAGTAAGATCGTCTGTTATCTCAGATTTCCTGCTTTCAGATTTAAGAAGACTGGAACAATCACGAGCAACTTCATCACTGACAGCCTTCCGTGGCTTGTAATTTCTACTGTGATCATCAAGACTAACTTCAGCATCTTTACGAGTACCATATGTCTCATCATCCGCTGGACTATGATTATGATCGTTGTCACAATAAGCACCAATATTATTGTCCTGTGGCTCACAGTCAGCATTGTTGCTGTTGTAATCATCGCCACTAATATCATTTCCAAAGTATTTAAGAGTCCCACTAATATCATAACGCCGTTTCTTAAATGCAACCAAAATTACATGGAAAACCTCTAAGATCGGGCTTCCTCTGGGTCCTTCAAAAGGGAATAAAGACAACTTCCCTACAATAAATATGCAAGAACTGATCCCCAACATACACATTCGTATGAGAAGTTGGGTGTGCTTGCTTGCTCCGACATGAGGGAGGACAATTAGTGCTATCAATAACCCAGTTATTTCATACCAGTTTTTCTTCAGCTGAAACTGAATTTTTTTAACTGAATTAGATAAATGAATGCGGTCTATAATTCTTCTATTAAATCCATCTTTCCTTTTAAATTTCTGTTCATGCTTCTGCTTCTCCAATTTCTCTAACTTCTCCTCCCATTTTAACGATTTCATGTAATTTTTGTGACCACACTGCCCAATAGTTACTAGTAGTAGAGCTAAGTAGAACAAGATTCCTATGGGTTTTTCCTCACATATATTTCTTTCGCGGCATGCCTTTATCTCTTTGTCAGTTATAGATGGGTATGCATAATACAGCATCATCAGGCCCTGAAAGACATCACTATCCATGATCACATACTTACAATTAACAAAAATGCACTAAAGCTTTATGCTTCTGATATTAATTGGTTGTAACACAAGCTATTTAGCAGCAGGAAGAGATAAATAAAATTGAATAATCTGAGCTAATTAAATTTCACAAGACATTTTATATGAGTGTAATATCCAAATAAGTTAAAAGTTTACTTACTCCGCTGTATATAATAGCTGAGAGCAACAATGTCAAGGAGTCTCCCAGGTAAGCATCAGCCAAAGAGGCAACAAATATCAGAAGAATTCCTTTGGCTCCATCTTGGACATTTGTAATTACAACCGCTTGAAACAATTTCAGCTGCCATACGTCGGTTAAGAATGTAATTAGCACCATGAATATAAAATTTGCTACAACATAGCTGATGCGCAAGCCTGCAGGACAAGATAGATGGATCACAGTTGCACGGTTAAGCAAGAATGCATTTCTCAAATGCAACTAACAGTTCAAATTTCATAGTATACAAATTTCTATTTTGTTAAGGTTGATTTATATTCTAGTGAATCAACCACTCATATGAATTGGACAAACAAACAAGCAAAATATAGGGCCGTTATCAGATGTGCCCGGATAATTAAGGACCTTGATGACTGAAGTTCGTAGCCTATAAGACTGAATATGATTGTCAAGTACTAACCTGCAATAAAGAGCACCTCTGATCCAGGAAAAGAGAACAATCTTCTAATCTTGTTTATTAGGTAAACAAAACAAGATTGTGTTGTTCTCTGCTCCTCCTTTAAATGTGTCCCCTGTTCCATAACCTCCATGCAATTTCTCAATATTCTTACTGTTCACAGTTTATTTGTTCAAAGTCAGAAATTTTTGCAATTAATTTGTAATTTGTGTATGTATTAGGAAAAATAAAGTAAGTGGGATCTTGTAAGATTCTTTTAAATCATCTTAAAATTCTTTATTTCACCTTTTATAACTTTGTATTAACAAACATGGATGCTTAGAAATGTGAAAGATCAAATCTGTGAATTTAGCATTGAGATTACTGTACATGAAGAATGATGGAAAAATTGGAACTTTACCTCCCTCAAAAAAAAAAAAAAAAAAAAGGGGAACTTTACCAGTTCCCACCTATAACTAAGCTTTAAAATATTAAAAGAAAGTATTGCAAATTCTAGCATAATTCTTAGTCCTCAAAACCTCAACTAAAGCATCTAAAAAAACAAAATTAAGTGAAGGTTACTTACAGAAAATGGCGGCTGATTCGAAATGACTGCTCTAATTACAGCTGCAGTGACCGATAATGGACTGTACTCATGCCTTGTTTTCAATCTTGGAAAGCCTAGAAATGTGAGGACTTAGATGGAGAGTGTGTTGCGCCAATGAGTTGACTTAGTAAGATGTAATTGTGCATTTATATTTAAGTACAACTAACGTTTTCCATTTATGTTTGCCCTAATTTAAAGAATGAGGGAGCCCCATTTTTGTTCACATTCTTGACTTTGATGAATGAGGGAGCCCCATTTTTGTTCACATTTCTGTTCACATTCCCTTTAATGAATGGATCCATATATTACGTATATGAATTTGTGTTGAGTATTTCTAAAAAGGCGATAATGTTCTCTTTATAATGCAATATAAAGAGTACGGAGTATATATCACTATATCTGCAATTAATTCGTAAAAATTTTCCATTATATATAAAAAAATTTCCTTATTTTGGTCAAGCTTCATCATCTAATACTTTAGAGACTAGACCCACTAAAAACTTAAAAAGTGATGAATAAAAACTAGAATAGCACCATAATTAGCCTATTTAGTCAAAAACTAACCCATATTTCTATATTTAAATATAAAATACAACTCTCCAATGATGGGTGGTAGTTGAAGTTGAACAACAATATAATGATGGTACTAATAAGAGAGCATTGTAGAGGTGATCAAAGTTCGCCTGGCCTGAAAATTTATTTTTTTGAGCGGGTTTGGGAATGCGTTTATGTATATTTAGTTGTTTTTTTTATCCGGCCCGAAATGGCCCAAAAGCCCACCCGGCCCGATCATTTTGAGCGGGGTTGGACACAAAAAATTAGGCCCGAAACTTGGCCCGACCGGCCTAGCCCGAGAAATGACAATTTTTTTTGATGTGGCCCGGCCCGCCTAATGATCACCTCTAGAGCATTGGTCACCAGCTCACCACTAATTAAGTATCAAAGGTCAAATTCAATCTATAGCAATTTTACCCAACTTTTTATTAAGGAATAAATATAATCTCTCCTCCAATCATTCACTAATTATGGAATTACATTTAACTTAGTTATTCCACTAATTATGGGATTACATTCCACTAATTATGGGATTACATTCCACTAATATATTCTCTCCTCCAATCATTCCACTAATTATGGGATTATATTTGACTTAATTATTCTGCTTACTAACCCATATTCTCTCCTCCCTTGGTCTTATTGAAGACGCTCCATTGTGTCCGACTGTTTATTAAAAACGCAGGACTCTGCTAAGTGGTAACACGATGTATAGAGTCTAACACCTGCCTCCCCTATAATCTTGTACAGTGTTTTTCCTTCGAATTTATCTCCTCTCTTTGTATATTTATAGGCTTGTATTCTCTGTAATTAATCAAGAATCGTATTCTCCAAATGATATTTTCTCTATATGGTGGTGAATACGAATTTCTACGCAACTACCTATCCATTGATGGCATATCTCATCTTACTACTCCTCCTTACACCCCTCGACACAATGGTTATTCCGAACGTCGGCATAGAAACATTGTGAAAACATTTCTCACCCTACTTACTCATGCTCACATACCTTTAAAATATTGGACAAATGCCTACAATAAGTCTTGTGTACAATGGGTGTACATTAGTTTTATTGTAAAACGGACTTTTTGAGTGTAGCTATAACTATTTTTATGGTAACTTTAACCACTTAAAGGGTAACTTTTAACTTGTTGTTGTTTTGAATTTTATTTTAATGTGTAATTTCTTATAGATACGTGATTACATAATATAAAGATCAATATGATTAATTTAATACGTTACAAGTGTTTTGTAAGATAAAATTTATTAATAGAAAAATAATAACTTTAGCAATACAAAGGGAAACTTTGAGTACTTTTAACACAACTTTAACCCGTTTTACAATAAAATAACGTACACCCGCCTTTTTGAAAAATTTGTGCAAATGCCTATTCCACAGTCGCTTACCTCATAAACAGTCTTCCAACACCTACATTAAACAATGACTCCCCCTTCTTCAAATTATTTGGCGTCAAACCAAATTACACCAAGCTTAGAAGATTTGGGTGCCTATGCTACCCATGGCTTAAACCTTACACTTCTCACAAACTTGACATGAAATCAAAACCGTGTGTCTTCGTCGGCTACTCCCCTACTCAAAGTGCCTACTACTATCTGGAACCGAAATCCAACAAAATTTACACCTCTAGGCACGTTCATTTTGTCGAACATATTTTTCCCCTTCTCCCAAACTTCTGTCTCTTAGACCCCTCTACCGGCCTTAATTGAGGATTGGACTCCTCTCACTCTAACTATCTTAAACAACATTCCTCACGCTCCTCCTCCCACGGTCCACACTCCACACTCCACCATCTCCCACTACTTCTCCTTCCGCAACGCAACCACTCCAGATGTTCACCCTCTGCCAAACCCAAACTCCACTTTGGCGACACACTCCACTCCAACTCCTTCCCCTCAGTCAGAACCTACCTTCCCCTCCACCTCCGCAACGCATCCCGCAACCTCCACCTCCCACACATACAATAACAACTCGACTTCAGCATGGTATCCGTAAACCAATCTCCAAACTCAATCTTAATGCTGAAGTAGCACCTGTCAACGTCCCCAAAAACATCACACAAGCCCTTAAAGCCCAGTCTGGCGCAAAGCAATGGACGCTGAAATTAGCGCCCTACGCGCTAACCAAACGTGGGAACTCGTTCCTCCTTCTCCTTCCCAAGATGTCATTGGCTGTAGGTGGGTTTTTCGCATCAAGAAAGATAAAGACGACAACATTTCTCAGTACAAAGCCAGATATGTTGCTCGAGGCTTCAACCAAGAACCGGGCGTGGATTATGGTGAAACATTTAGCCCGATTGTTAAGCCTGTCACGGTTCGCGTGGTTCTTTCTCTAGCAGAAAATCAAGTCTAAAATTTCAATATATTTTAGATTCATATTTCACTAATGGCTTTGAATTTTCTCAATAAAATAAAAAATTAAGCATAATATATCATTGTTGTCAAAACATCTATTTTGATGAAGATCCACAGTATATTGGTAATTTGGTATAGTAAATTAGGAGGAAATATAGGATTGATTTTCAAAAACATCAATCTTGTAGACTACAAAACTCTCCCTTAATCTCATTTTACTTCCCTATTATTTAAAAAATTCTCACATTCTTTTTAATCAAATGTGACAAATAAAACGAGACGGAAATATCAACACAACTAGGACTTACAATATCCACTATTTAGTTCTATATGTTTACTACACACATCGACATGTACACTAGACTAATATTTTGAGTAAACATGACATGATCCCCACTAAAAAGCGTCTTAATTAATCTCTATCTAATAAATGAGACCATCAGGTTCGAAGGGCCGAGGTAGGAGGACTCGGAAGTCGAAGTAGTCCCCGCATAGGCAAGATTGGTTGCACAAAACTTGAATGAAGTAAATCTGTAAGACGATGACTACAGAAAGAGATGATATCATACATGGTCCAAGTGAAATGGACAGTTCTTGACACAAGTTTGACCCATTCACATTCAAACGTACAAGGTACAACCCCTTACTTGTTTGTTCTTTCAAACAGTCAAACTCCTGCACTTAATTTTTGATTTATTATCTCCTACCCACCCACTTACCCCTGATATCCTCGACATTTAATCTTTAAATATACAAACATGTTATCAAATTTTGTAGATAATTTATTGATTGATTGTGTTAGTGGTTCGTTACTTTTAGTATATTTGTTGGATGCTGCTAGTTGTTAGATAACTTTTGATGGATTCTTGTCATTCCTTTTCCCATTGTTGATTTTATGAGTTATTTATTTATTTGTATGGTAATTAATTAGATGTTTAAGAACAACGTCGCTTTTTAATCATGATATCGTTATCATGTATCTCTTAAAGTATTTTGACAATATTATTAACATCATCTCCAGGCAAATTCATCACTACAACCTAATGACCTTAATGCTACCAAATTCTCTATATTTATCAAGGAAGTAACATTTTTTTTTACAAAAATCTTAAGTTAAGTGGGAATAACCACATATTTAATACGAAGTGCTTAGTGTTAATTTCCTTATGTGGGAAATTAACGTAATAGACGCTATATCATAATACCATATGATTGGATGTTTGCATGATGTGGCTTTGTGTTAACGTGGAAGCAACATGTGCCATATTGACTGTTGAAAGCCTTGATGATCTTCATTTTGGAATGGTAGGTAGATATACATTATTTTGACAATAGTAAAAGTAAAAGTTTGTTTGTTACAATCAAATATTTGACCCCTTAACTCTATTTTCATAAGATATTAGTTTTTTCGATATATTAAATCCTAGGTGTAAAAATTATTAAAAAAAATAAAAATTATCTTATGAAATTAATGATTTTATCTAAATACTCGATTAATAAGATGTTTATTCATATGTCTAAAAATTTGAAAAGACATATAATTTGTTAAAGATCAAGAGATCACAAGAAATATACAAAATGATATATAAATTTGAGAGTTTAATTTCAAGTGTAAAAAGCAACGAATAATGATTTAGGATTTAAATTATTTAAAACAAAATTATTATCTTTTCAAATTAAAGATTTTATCCTTATATGTAATCAATGAAATATCATATTTACAATTTTTTTTTTCTGAAAGATATCATATTTGTCATATAACTAACAACAACGAATAAAATACAAAATAACAATAAATTAAGTCGCATTATAAATTACATTAAAAAAATTATACTTTTTTAATTGGCAATATCATTTTAATTAAATTATTATTTGTTTTATTTTTTCTAAAATTATATAATTGAAAAATAAATCAAATAATTATAAAAAAAAACTTAGAATATATAGGAAAATATCTTTTCTTGAGATATATTCATATATGTATGAAAAATCATGCATCGCACGATATTATTTTGACCAATTAAAAGTTAGATTTGTATTTTATTTTAGAATTAAAAAATTCACTCCCCACATAAGCAAAAATGACGAATGTAATTTAAAATTTTTGCCACGTAGGTAAAGACAACGAAAAATGAATTATTAAGATTGAAATTATTTTAAAACTAAAAATTATCTTTTTTAAAAGATGATCTTTTGATGTTAGGATTTAAATTAAAAAAAGTATTAATTATACAATTATTATATACAAGCACTTTAAAATTAAATATTTGAAAAAGAAAAATATATGTTCATTTTATTTTTAAGAAAACGTTCAATCAATTTTTTTTAATAAAAAAATTTTAAAAGAAATATAAATTATTAATAATTAACTAATATTCTTCAATTTTTTTAAAA